AGGAGAGAGCCCAATAGTCTAGCCCAATTTGCTGAGTTTTGTTGTTTTCAGTAAATCTTTTCCCAGGCAGCAGTTTCCTTATTTGTAAAAGAGACGATCTCTAAAATTCCTTTCAGTTTTAAAATTTTGATTCTAAATATCTCAGTGTTTGGTATTATGTCTACAAGCTTCATTAAGCTCCCAACCGCTGGGCAAAATGGCCATACTCTCCTGTCATAGAATTAGAAATACCTGCATTGCCCTCCGAGGCACTGTCGCCAGTTAACTCCCGGACAAGTGCATCATTTCCTGTTTGCTTCAGGACAGTCAGAAATGTAGAAAACCAGTTTTCTTTCTGCACGATCCTTCTCAGTAGCTCTCTTACACCTGCTTCATTTCCACTATTTTCTGCAGCAGCAATCTGTTTTAAGAGAAAAGTAGAAGAAGATCAAACATGTGAATAAATTTAAAAAGGAAACAGCCTTTAGAAAAATTGAGCAATTAAGCATAAATAAAGACTTCTTTCAAACACTAAAGAAAACAGCAGTGCCACTTGTAGCAATAAATGTTTTACCTCAGTCATTGTGAATAAGGGGCGCAAAAGAAAGGGCCTTTACTCCCTAGCAATATTATGTCTATTTGCATCAAAATTTTTTTCTGGATATCTAGGGCACGATTTTTCTTTTCGACCCATGAAGTCTATAAATGGGAAATCAAACATTTCTTATCAGTTCAGCTTTCTTCACTATTACCATTATAAAGTAATTATTATCACAGATTTATATTCTTGCCTATTTAATACTGGTAATATTTATCATTACTATAATATTTTTCTTAAATTTGTGCTTATTTAATACTATGAGACAAATTTATTTCTATATCTATTCCTTTTTTAAAGTAGGGGGAGAATTATTTCTATTCCATTCATTATAAGCCTTAGCCTTCGTTTAATTTTATTTGTATATTAATCTAGAAAATCTTTCTAAATGTGGATCATTTGTCACGTTATCATTGTCACAGTGCATCCCCCAATTCTTAATATAGCACCAAACATTTGGAGAAAAGACTAATACAAGCCACATTTAGACCAGAAAACAATTAGGACATTATCAGCTTGCTGTGTCATAGGCAAGCTACTTTATCTTTCTGGGCCTCAGTTTCTATATGTGTAAAATGAGGCAACTGGAAAAAAATTTCAGGCATTCTCCGTCCTAGCGATACATCCTAGAATCATCTGGGGAGCTAGAAAGAATACTAGTGTCTGGGATCCACTCCCAAAGATCCTGATTTATTTTGTCTATGCTGGAAAACTAGACTTTTTTTTTAAAGCATCTATTAATTCTAATCAACATCTTAGTTGAGAAATATTGACTCAAATACTCTCAAAGGTCCTTTTTAACATTTGCTCATCTTCTACATGTATAATTTGGATTGTTTGCCTAGTTTTTCCTACAAAATTTATGTATTTTCTAGAACCTATAAATATATGTTATAAGCTTTTAAAGTCAGAAATTCGTTTGCATTTTTGGAACAATGTCTTGTTCAATTGATTGTAAGCTCTTTTTATGGGTGACTGAGCAAAGCATCTATCTTTACAAATATTTCACCAGTGAACACCAGTATGTAAGTGTACAGCACGATTTCCACCCAAAGAAAGTTTTAGTCTTATTAACTAACAGTTAATAATGCTATAATAAAAGCTTTGTTTATATTAATCCAGCAACCCTGGAGGTACCTGAAGAAGGTACCAATATTAACCCATTTTACAGATCAGAAGTCCAAGGTGCAGAGAATTCCAGCTACCTACTCAAGAACACGAAGCTAGTAAATGGCAAAGGTAGAACTTGACCACAGGCAATTGGCTTCAATGCTGCCTTCCTGTACTATAATTATAGCTAAAACTTTCTCTAATTTTAAATTCATTTTCAGGCAAGAAAGGTTAAAAGGACTACTTGAACTTAATAAATTTAGATGATTTCAGTCCATCTCCTCCACAGCATTCTCTAAGCACATTCTTCTTCATTACCTACCTTTTCTCTAACTTGATTAATCTCCTAATGAAAATTTTGTCTTTGCTGGTTTGTAACATCCTTATTATTATCCGCTATTAATCAGAAAAAATTTCTCTAAAAAGAACAAGTGAGGCACTGTAATGAACACTTTTATTAAAAACCTAAGCATATTATATCCACTAAATTTTCTTAAACTATTAATCAGTTAAATTGATTTTTACTATAAAATTACATTTGTCAAGCTTGCTTTGTCCTGAGTTCAGGTATTTAAGAATCATTATGCCATTATTTCCTATAAGTATTTTTATTACATGAATGTGAATTACATATAATACCTATCATTTTTGTCAGCTTCATCAAGATTCTGAATTTTTAAGGAATCTTCTCAGTTTGGGTGTTAGAAAATGCATCAATTCCCTTTGAAGCAACCATATGTATATGTGTGTGTGTGTGTGTGTGTGTGTGTGTGTGTGTGTGTGTTTGTGTGTATTCTTAGTTAATCTGCTCTCCTAAAACATAGTAAAGATATTAGATTCCAATACACAAATTTGATTACTTAAATTCTTGGGAGGTAAATACTTAGACTTGAGGCTGCAACAGGACATATAATGATTCCCACACATATTTCTCCCCCATTGAACTTTTTCTCTGAATATAAAATTTTAAATGTCTACACATACATTGATAGCTAATTTATGGAATATAAAATAAGTATAAAATTGTGAGTAATACAATTCAGTGCTTTCATAGTCTAAATTCTTTGATCTATGTTTTTTCTTTCCAACAGAAATCTGTGAAGAAACCAAGATATTTCCATTAAGCACTAGCATCCTAAAACAGAAGCAGGTGAGTACAGAGGCACTCTCTAGTTAAGGATCATTCTGTAATAATGATCCATAACGTGACTCTTGTACTTATTGCTGAGTCACTAGTATTTACGATAGTGTCTAGCATATGCTAGACATTCTTTAACTATTTGTTGGAAGAATGAACACTGATCAACACTACAACACAAGCTCCATGAAAGTGAAGAAAATATCTGTGCTATTCTCCAAACTTTTCACCACTATTGTGGCACAAAAGTGTCATTCTATCAATTTAAACCAAATAAATGAATAAATAAATCAATTAAATACATTTCTTTGGGTAAATACTGCACACAAAACTAAATCTAGGATCATTTTAAGAAGTTCTGATGTATGAGGAGGAGGGACAGGGGTATGGATGTTGGAATCCTAAACTAACAGACCAAGTAGAAAATGTCTACTGGAAAACAGGAAAAGAATTAAAATAAAATATGGTTTTTTAGAAGTCTCAATTACTTATTTGAATGCTACTTTAAGCTGTCCAAAAAGCAAATTTTGAGCACTTATGTTCACCACCCATCTGTTTCCCAATGCTTGACAATGTAATTCATTATATCATGTGTTTCCAGCTCTTATTTCAGACAACTCTTTGGAAATATATTTAACCAATCATTTAAATGTTAATCAACATTTATTAAGTACAAACCCTATGCCTAGTCTTGGCCAGGTTCTGAGAGCTTAAACAAGAAAAATATAGTTTCTCCTTCGAATCAAAGTTTAATCCAGGGACTTTGAAAAGCAGATCTAAATTTCAAAATGGAAGATTTACCTAAATCCCTGAAACTTTAAATTCACAAGGAAATGTAATCAAACGAATGATAATAAAGGTCATCATCATCATATCAAAATAGCTCTTTATCATTTATAAAGCTTTTTCCTAAACATGATTTCGTATTTACTGCAATATTGTGAGTGAGAGGAGAAATTATTATTATGTCCATTCTTCTGGATAAACTTAGGATCAGGGAACTTGAATAATGTGGACCAAAGTAACATATACAGAAACAAAGATCTTAAGTCCAAGTCTTTCCACTCAAATTTCCCATGCTTTTCTCGCTGGACTTTACCATTTAAGATAAACATTCATCGATGACCTCAACATCAATATAGCTTCTTCTGAACCTAATGCATCCTTCCCATCGTCTGTCAAAGATTATTTTTGAGACTGACGATACATGTAAAATGATGTGTACAAAAAACATTTCATGATATCAGAGACCCTATCCTCTCCTTAGAGAGCTTCAAACACATAGATCCTCCATCTTTCAGAGCCTCCTTTGAAACATGAATCTAGGAGAGAGTTCGAATTGCTCTGGGTTGCTCTGGCCTTAACTGCTACTACTACACAAATGTCCCTTTACTTTATATCTTCTTTGTGTCAACTCCCTTGCATTACTGCTAGCTGCCTCCAAGCTTGCCAGAATCAAGAACTTGGATAAAATCTAGCTGGCGGAAATTCAATCCAGGCAAGACAAAAGTGATGCTGATAGGCAGAAGTATTTAGAGTAAATAAGGAGAAGTGCTGTTTCGCTGGCAATCGGGACATCATACCCACCAAACATAAACAGCTTTGTGGTGTTACTGGACTCTGTTGCTTCTGGACTTCCTAACAGCTACTGTGGCTGGAAATGCCATCTTCCATCTCCAGCTGGCTTGAAGGCTGCATACTGTCTTCCAAATTAAGATTCTGCCACAGTGATGTACACATTTGTCATATCCAGCTGGACTACTATAATGCGTTCTAGCTGGTTCTCAATACACAAAACTACATAAACGTTACAGACAACAGTATAAAGTAATTTACTTGTTGGGAAAACCAGCCATCGAAATTAGATGCATGCTTGGGTCTTTGGACAGGCCTCAGAGCTGTCAAATCTACAAAGGAGCATCTACAAAAGACTAACTCACATCACAGGCTGATAATGAGTCCAAGCCCCCAAACTTTGTAACGAGGATCCAAACAGTTAATGAATCAAAAAGTAAGAGAGAAAGAAAGAAAATTGTCAAAATCATAGCACATTAGACAAAGCCTCAACTTTTTGTCATGGGTTTATTTGCCTATATGCCTTTCAAAATAAGACATTCGACTTATAACCTGGAATAAGTCAGATTCAAATTGGTCTCCGTTTTTATACTTCACAATACATTCTCATTCTTTGAAAAACGATGAACAATAAAACATTATATTAAGTGCAAAGTCACCTGTAAAATTCACCCTATCAAAATTCCACTTAAAAAAATCCCACTACTCCTTCACTAATAAGAAAAACTGCAACTAATAGACATACTTTTTCAATGAATTATCTGCAACTTTTGATTCACAGAGAAAGCTGAAATTTTAAAGAAAATAACGTGTTATATGTAATTTCTCTACTTAAACTAAGATTAAATGGCATAATGTATAACATAGGCTAGAGATTGGAAATTTTTTTCTCTAAAGGCCAGATAATAAATATTTTAGGCTTTGTGGACAATATGGACTCTGTCCAACTGCTCTTGAAGTACAAAAACTGTCCTAGTATGTAAATGAATGAGTGTGGCTGTATTCCAATAAAGCTTTCTTTATGAACACATACAATTTAAAATCTAAAAACCTTCTTAGCTTTGGGGCCTGTAAAGACCAGTAGCAGTCTGGATTTAGCTCATGGGTCATGGTTTGCTGATCTCTGTTCTCTTGAAGTATATTAAATAAGACACAAAATTCCATACCATCAGGAGCTAAATCCCTAGTTCTGCCATTGTCTTCCTAGATCTTGGGCAAGTTACTTAACCTCCTTTAGTTTTCTCGGCTGTAAAATGGAGTTAATAGCATTAAACACCTCAGTGTTTTTGAGCACGAACTCTACTAAAACATTTTGCAAGTGATACTAATTGTACATTGTAAGTGGTCAAAAAAACGTTACTTATTAGCATACATTATTATTCTCGAATTAACATCTCTAGCTCATTTCAGTGAAAGGATTAGAAAAATAGCCTTTTTGTGTTTAAAATTTTCAAAATTATGTTTTAAGTGACTAGATATTTTCTTCTCAAGAAAGGAGGGAAATGGGTTTACCCAAAGATATCACAGACCATTTGGAACCGGGCAAATGAATGGCCAGCCCCAAGTTGTAAAATCTGCCTAAAAGCCCAGCTCTACCTAAACTGACACCTACCCGATTTCTGTCTTCAATTGTCAACAGTTCCTCCTCCAGACATTTATCCAAGACATCTCTAACCAGAAGCTTGTCCACCAGGGTGGGCTGAAGGAGGTTCAGTAGTTGGAGACACTCATCATGAGCGTTCTCAAAGGATGGAGAAGGCAAGTCTGTGAGCTCAGGGTTCACGTAGCGGGCAGCTAAGGGGCTGCCTGCTCGCTGGAGGGCCTCTACAAACACCCTAGTCCAGCCCGGGGACCAGACTCCCTTCTCCAAGGTGCTCAGGAGCTGTTCAGCTGCGTTAATGTTCCCCATGGTGGTGGCCGTCCTCTGTATCTGCTCCTTCATGTCTGCAGACAAAAAAGTTAGGTAGTCCAGTACAGGCTCCACCTGGATGTACATTTTCACTCTGGCCCGGAAGCACGAGATGAGATATCGGAACCTCTTGTCTGCAGAATACTCATTCGACATCTTTCCTTCTCAGCAAAGGGAGAAGTTCTCCCAAGTAGACGGACAGGTTTCTGTTCTCAGCTCAACTGGTGCGATGCGTGTACCACTGTCCGCTGCCTTGGCGTAGCAGGGTCTGCAACTATGTACCTGACAGCATAGGAGTCGCCTTCAGGGTCCCCAGACCCGCGCGCAGGGCGAGGTGGTTGCACCTGGTAGGTGGGCGGGGAGTGCCCGGCCTGGATGTGGCGGCAGGCAGCGGAGGGCAGACAGCGCCGCACCTCTGACTCTACGGTGCTCGCGGGGGCCGGGACTAGGGAGCCGCCTCTGCTCTCTCGCGACGCAGCTCTGAGTCCAGCTTTCCGCCAGGCAGTTCTTATAGTTTGCCTGACTTTGGTTTCTGTTTCGATTCTCCTATCCAGGTCTTTCCAAACGTAAGCCACCGCGGGGTGTGGCTGTTTCGTGGGGGAGGAGCCACACTTTGGTCAGTTCCGCCAAGGAGAGTCCTTTGGCCAAGGGCACTGTTGAAAACAGAAGAAGCGAACTATCTTCCCCACGGAGTAAGACACCAACGCTCCAGCAGTGCACCTCTTACAGGTATTTTGTCTTCCTTGAAGAGTTCTGCCTCAAAAATCAGACTCACCCACAGCCGTCTTGCATAGCCTCTTGTCAGCTAAAATGTGGAGGGTGTGAAAGCGCGTGATTGGGGACTTCCCAGCCTAGAGACGAACAGAGAGTGAAGCCAACCGAGAGTTCCCTTTGGCTGGAGAATGCGAGCAGGTTCTGGTCCCGCCAGAGTGGTAAAACTGCAAGGGACAAGAGGAGAGACGAAGTAAGAAGATATATCTATAGAGCTGTAGCCCCAGAACTACAGGTGAAATGACCCCTACACCCTTTCTAGATGTAAACCTGACCTCCAGTGGGTCCCCAAGAACTAACGCTTGGGAAATATGTGGGAGGTTATGAAAAAAAGGGAATCATGATAAACAGTTAACTTTAGTGCCTCATCTGCATATTATAGTATTTGGTTTTGATCAGGGCCTGGTGACAGAGCAGAGAGACTTTAACCAACAACTCAGCTTAGGAGGAAGTCAACAATGAAAGTTTCCTATCTCTCAGCCTGTAAATTCCCCATATTCTTTAATATACAGCTTTCCTTTAATAAAACAAAACAAAATCTCCAACAACTTATTTTTGACATAGCTGCCATTCTTTTCTTGGATTCAATACAGCAAGTTTTGGCTGAAGCAGCTAGGAACTTAATTAGCAACTAATGTACCAACTTGTAGTAAACATCAACATTTGTCTATGTCACGAGGGAAAAAAAAGACACCCACACTGCAAAATGGCAGCTTCATTTCAGTACAGAAGCCACATAAACATGCGTCCTTCATGTTGCTAGTCAAGCATTCTGCTGCCCTGGGTGACTGTGGGTGGTAGTATATATGCTTTATAAGGAGAACTTAATAGTCCAGAATTATATGGGGGATGGAGGGGTTGTATAGGCTATCAAAAAGATGTATTTAAGAAAATTAATTTGTTAGCAACATTCATTCAAAGATGTTTGGATAGGCTAAGGAAACCTGGCTATAAAAGAAATATAGTCTTTGTGTTTACCGGAGGCATACAAAATATCCAACTGAGCACATTATAGCAAATTTATTCTCTATATAATAAAGCTAAGGCTTTTTCTTTCTTAAAGGATTGTAAATTGATTGAAGAAAGGACATATTTACACAGTGACCAGTATAACACAAATAATAGGACCTTGATGATTTTCTCCCTGATGGGGAATTTTATTTGCCTTGACTCTAGCTGCTGGCCTAATCTCAAACACAGTGAAAGCTGCTGAAGTGAAATGAAATCTTAGCCTTATAGGTAGGCCCAATTTATACTATTGTGTTTCTTCATAAAGCACTATTACATCTTCATGTAATTTGGACATTTGACCTTGTGCTTAGGTAGAAGAGAATCGAATTAGACGTTTCTACAGAAGTATTCAAATTATTAATTTTTGTTATTAATTCTATCTTTTGGAGCTATTACAAGAAAGTTCCCCACCCCCTTAATGTGCCAGCAAGTTTCATTTAGTATGTTAAACAAAAAACAATGTACAAACCAAAAACATTGTCCCCGGTACTCATCTTTTTGTCTTTTAGTTTGAAACACTGTGGAATAAGAAGAGATTTCTGATTAAATATGGGAAAATAATGTCATCTTAACACCACGAAATTGCTGGCCTGTTGAGAGAGGATCAAAAGCAAAAGTTTAAATGTTTATATTCAGATCATTCATTCGAATTAAAAAAATGTATTAAGTACCTGCTATATCGCCAGCACTGCTCTAGGTACAGTTAATAAACTTGAACAAAGTTTCTACCTTTATGGAGCTCACATTCTAATGGGAGTGGGAAGATGCATAATAAATAATAATTAGAAAAATACAGTGTGCCAGGTGAGGATAAATGCTGCGAGGACAATGGTAAGATCTATTCCTAAGTATTTTATTATTTTCGATGCTATTATAAAAGGGACCATTTTTTTTTAATTCAGCTTTTGCATAATTGGTTGTCGGTGTTATAGTAACACTACCAATTTTTGTATGTTAATTTTGTATCTTGAACCTTAATGACCATTGATTAAATCTAACTTTTTTGATGGAGTCTTTAGGATTTTCTACATAAAATCTGCAAAAAGAGACAATTTTACTTCGAGTTTCAGAACTATGTTAAATAGGACTTGTGAGAGTAGGCATCCTTGTCTCGTTCCTGATTTTAGTAAAATCTAGATAATGCACATTACAGTTTTTCTGCCCTTTCTAACTCTCACCATTACCATCACATAATATCCATCAATAACAATTCATTTTTACTTTCCAGTAGGAATCACTCTGCTGAATGAGGTGCAGTGATGAGTACTGAGCATAGATGGGAGTGCCTGAAGGAAAATTGAAAGAAACCTCTTTTAGGAATCTACCATATTTTTGATAGGACTCCTGGAGGAAGGAGGTTGGGGAAACAAAAGCCAAGCCATAATATCTCAAAATGTATGTTTTTTTTCTTTATCTATATTTTTACATCATGATTTAGTTTATTTTCTGTTGGAATAGACTTTGTCCTCTGTCAAGTTTTTCCTGATAGCTTTCATTTCATCCTTCTCACTGTTTTCCAAATGTAAGTTTCTGTTTCTCCTTTGAGGTAGGAAATCCTGATCTTTGTCTTTTTCTTTTTTCTAGACCTGCCTATTCTTTTAAAACCCCAAAGAAACATTTTAAGCAGTCTCCATCAGTTTCAAAAGCCACCTCTTAGCATTTTGTTCTATAAATAGCAAATCGGGAATGTGCTAGATAACAGGTTTCCACTGTTATCCAACTTTTCATTTAAGTTTTCTACAATTAAGAAGTAGTAATAATCATAGCTGCCGCTTCTTTGACAAACCAGAACTACAATGTATGGCCACACATGGCAGTAATGCCTTTTCCAAAGAAAATTAGAATAAATTTAGTTTACTGAGGAAATCTTTCTAGAATTATTATTGTTTGTACATTTATTTACTAATCGTGTCAATGAAGAGCCCTCTCTGTGTAATTTAGAGTCAGATGGCCCTAACCTAGCAATATGGAATTGTGGTTAAACATAGAGACTCTAAGTTCAGGATGTCAGGATTCATATCTCAGTACTACTTATTAATTGTGGTGTGATCTTGGGAAAATCAGCTCAAACTTCTCAGTTGTAAAATGAGAATGATACCTGTACCACGTCATAAGGTGGTTCAAATGATGGACTCTAAAGTAAAGCACTTAGCACCAAGCCTGGCATGTTATATTTGCTCTATAAGTGAATGCCAGCATTCTTATGTAAACAATGAATAAGAGATATTGCTAGCCCTCAAAGAATGTGCACCTTATGGAGGAAATAAATTAGTTGTGTACATAAACACTATATAATAACTCGACATGTAATTAAATTTTTAGAAAGGATCCCTTTTTGTAAGAAATGGAAGTTGATATGCTGATTTAGCAGAACAGTTTATTAAAAGGATACTATTATAGCTTTATATCTCAAAAACATAAGTAGGTACAAAATAGAAAAAGAAATTCTGGCTAAGTTTACTAGATCATGATATTCATTTCTTAATTACTTCCACCAATTCATTTATAAAATTCTGGTTTTAAGTATGCACACACAAAAGCTTTTCTACATAACAAATAGTTTTGGCCCAAACAAAAAATTTGGTGTCTGTGAAAATTTTTCCAAACATCCATTTTTCCAAGTGCTCCCTTCACAGCTTAAGTCCTTTCAAAAATAGTTATTTGTGCATGCTTTAAAAAAAGAAAAAAAAAATAGTACTTTTACTTCAGAGGCATTGACTGGCTGTGCTTCTTTTATTTTATTTTAAAATAAATACTTAAGAGCAAACTACGGTCAGATGCAATTAGAATGCCACTGTCTTTTCCTTGAAATCATGGTTGACATTAATCTAGTAGACATTTTGGAGTTAGCTATCTCAGCCTGTGTCCATTTGGATTGAGTGGTGATTGTTCTAATCGCCTAATACCTACCCCATACAATTAGTTAATTTTTTTTATTTCACCTCTGCTCACGTTATAACTGAAAATTTTAAAGTAGGAGTAGGAATCCTGTAGAATGAGTTATTGAAATCAAATAGTGAGATAAATCGAAACAAATTTTTGAATTGCTAAATCACTAAGGATTGAACTAAGATTTTAAAAAATAATAAAATTGTCAGTTATAAAGTATTTTTATTATTAATGTACTAGATATCAATTTCATTCAAAAATCTTTAATCTCATCTGATCTTTTACTTTCTAATTTTTTAATTCATGTTTTATGATATGATAGTTGTACATGTAAATATTTTCTAAATAAATAGATATCTTTTTATTAAGGTTTATGTTAAAATATTTTTACTGATAGGGATCAATAACAAAGTACTTGAAGACCACAGCTCTAGAGAGCCTCCCAAGAGCTATAGATTATGATGAATTTGAAGAGCAAGATTGATAAGGATGGAGAAGAAAAATGCATATGTGAAAGGAGAGAAAACTCTGGAAAGAGAAGGGCGAGTCAGCATTTACATCTTGGAAACACTAGAACATATCAAGTTACAAGAATTATTGCTTTATGACAAAGGTCAGTATACTAAGTTCACACATGAAACCTGAATATATTTCATATCCTATTGCCAGACATGTTGTCTAGCAGATTTTTCTTAAATTGAATATTTTAATAAAAACTTTTTTATTTAAAAATAGCTTATGTTCACTGTAGCAATTTCAGGGAAGAAATCATATAATATTAAAGAAGATTTATGAATTACTTGCAATCTCATCACCCAGAGATAAGCATTTTTAATATTTTAATTGTATTTTCTACCAGTATTTTATTGCGTGAATATATGAGTAGATGCATGTGTGTGCGTGCTTACACACATTCACCATTTGTTCAGCAGAGAGTGAGTTGAGATGGTCTCAACTTTGAGGAAGCAATCTCCAAAGAAGAGTTCTCTGTAGGGGGATCATGTTAACATGCCAAGGGAAGAAAGAACCCGTAAGAGACTCCCTATGGCAGGGATGGCCAAGGTCTTTGGGTAGCAATGCCTAATATTGAATTACATGTTTATTATTGTGCTGCACTTGCACAATCGCCCCTTGTTAGTTCCAGATCTTTCAGAAAAGTCTGCCTATATAACAGGCTTATGATGTGGTAGTTTGGTTAATCAAGGAGGAAAGTCAGTGGCCCCATGTGGCACAGAAAGAAAGTGTATCTGTAGAAAGTGAGACAGGGAGCATGGATTGAGAATTCCGTTCAAGGAAGACAATGAGAGTATAAATCCTCCAAGAATCCTCAAACATCTTAGCAGCTGTGCCAGACTTCTCCTGCTCTGTGGGACGGCAAGGGGCCCTCTCAGGCATGCTTTCAGCTGCAAGGCAAAGAATGTGTGACTAAATGTGGCTCAGCCAGAGGGACTGATTTTGTCTCACTTAACAAGAAGAGCCAGTGATTCATTGAGGTTAGAACTCTGGAATGTGTCCTGTAATTTTCTTGGCTTTTCTCTCATGGTTGCAAAATGGCTCCAACAGCCCCAAACATCATTTTTAATTCCAACTTTAGTTAAAAGTTGGTTCTAGGGGGTGAGAGCATAGTGTTTCTCCCGTTTACCTTCTCCCAACAGAGAAAGGGAAAAAGATACCGCAGGAGTCCTACAGCAGAATTTCTCATAAATCTCATTGGCTGGAACTGGGTCGTGCCCACCGCCCCTAAAATAAAGTGCTACCTGCTCAAAACATTTTAAAAATCTCATTTCTAATAGTAAGGCATTGTTTGACACAGGCACTCAAGCAAATTTATTTATATATTAAAATGTAAAGATGACCCAAGGCAGGCTAGAAAACTTGTTTTCCAGGTGGTTTGACTTTCTGAGCACACTCATTGTTCTGAAGAGTATTCCCAACAGGAAGTGCTGAAGCAGCCATTCAATACCTTGTTGTGGCAGCAAAGTGAGCTAGGAAATGTTCTCAAGCCTAGCTGCATATTAGACTCACATGGAAAATGTATTGCATTAGAATCTCCATGACTGAAACTTCAGTGTCAGTTATTTCTCTTTTTAATTCCACTTGAGATTGTATTCTTCAGCCAGAGTTGAGACCTAGAAATCAGGGCCAGCTGAGAATACAGATGAGTCTCATTATTCATAGCAGTTATGTTCTATAAAGTTGTTGTGAGCACTGAATTAGAGGATATCAAATCACCGCTCCCAGGGAAATACAGAACCGGGTTCCCGCAAGCCAATGGTCACATTTCTAAAACCGATCAATATATAACCTTGTGTTTGTGTGTGTTTCTGTACGGACACACCTTATTTAATATATCTTGTTGATTCATTAATGTTACATTCACAATTAGCAACATTGTAATATACCTGAATGACATATTTTTTAACATATTTTTTTTGTGAGGCATATCACAGTTTTCCTGTGCTTAGAAACACTAGATAACACTTTAGGACTATTAACTTTTAAACAGTGAAATCACCAACAAAAAGCACAAAAATGCAAAAAATTGTCAGTAAATATACCATGAAAAGGACGCTTGTTTACAGTATGAAAGCTGAAACAAGAAGGCAGAGCATCCCTTTGGTCAGCCTCAGCTGGAAACATGCACATCTGGACGACACAAATTTTTCACTGCTCTGCACATATCCGCCAATGACAGTGAAAGCACCAAAACTAATGTTTTTAGGATTACAAATAAATTTTAACGAGTAGGGAAATAGGTTCCGGGTATAACCATGAAATTTTGGAAAATTTGATTATACTTTATAGACATATTTCTGAATCATTTGTACTAACTCAGTTTAGCTAAAGTTATGATATAAATGAACATACATTTTCAGCAATTTATTAAAAGTGATATAGTTTGAAACATTCATCTGCCAAATCCATTGCCCTGGGCATTGCCAGATATTTGCTTAGAAAACATGAGACCTATTATGCATCATAGAAAATATATATCTTAATGCCAGTAACCTCTTGGACACTATAGAATGTAAATCTCTAGTTTATAGTTTGAAAAATTGGATCATATGAATTCAACTCTAAAGGTCATCTAATGTCTCAACTGCAGAGAAAGTAATAAGGAAATCTGAATGTGAGTGACTGGAAGAATTTTTGCTTATCTCATTCCTAATTGTTACCTAGACTCTTGGTAGTTCACCAACCTATATAAATTCAGCACAGAGAAAGAAAAATATAGGGGGAATTCCTATATCATGAAAAAAAACTGTCTCGCTCACAGTAAGTAAATGAAGTTTCTTACACTTTACCAATCAGGAAATTCAAGTTCCACACAAAAATAAGCTTTTCTGCATAGCCACTTTTATTGCAAGTTTATCATACCCTAGGTGACTGATATTCAAACTGTACTTTGAGGAAACTTAATGTGACTTAATGATACCTTAGAGGGTGATGGAGAGAAATTCAAGGGGCGAGGCTGTGAGCCTCACTTCTACTCCAAAAAGAGCAGATTGACTACTATTATCTGTATATTTTGCAGTTTCATACTTTGAGAGGTGTTTGAAAAAACCTCTGTGCTAGTAATTCAGAACATCACGTATAAAGAATTTTTACAAAAATAGAAATATTGTATCAGAGCCTTCTAAGACTATCTCATATTTTTATATGCCCAACCAGTAGCAATATGAGTTCTAGTTGGACATCTATCTGCCTTTTCCCCATCAATTTCTCATAGAGCCAAATATTAGAAAAGTTGGGCAAGTTCTGGAACCAGTATACCATATTACTGAAGGAAGGAAATGGACTTCAGTTACATTATACTGTTATTGTTATAAGTGAAAGAAAGCATGAGTAAAATCAGTAAGTGAATGAAAAGATGACACGCTGATTTATTAAGGCTGAAAATTATACCATGTTTTACTTTAAAATTGTACTAAATTTTATAATTTAAATTTATAATTAAAATTAAATAAATTTAAGTTTTATAATATTTTAAAATATTTTTATAAAATATTCCTGATTACTCCTAAAAGAATTAAATTTTTCTTTTCTGAATTTCTAATTAGTATATGTATATATGTGTGTTGCAGTTTTTCATGTCTATATGCATATTTATGTTGAGGGTATATAGATTTAGCAGCTCTAGGTGAGCTTGCCTAGTCCTTCCCAACCCCTAGAACTAGTATAAAATTTTAGAACTTATTTCACATTGATGGTCTCATTTCATTGATTCTTTTTCCTTCAAATGCAATTAAAACCTCAAGAAAGACATATTTTACTATGAGGGAGATTTTTTTTTTTTAATTATAGGCAAATCCAAATTATTACTACAAACGATCTACTTTAAAATACTTCAAGATGAAAGGTTTATGATTTTAATTGATAGATGAATATAAATAAACCTGCAAGTATGGACTGTGAGTGAAATCTGATTTTATACATTTCAGACATGTTTCGTTTTTCAGGAATAGACTGCTTATGTGCTGTATGTTGTCAATTAGGAATTAAGAATGATATTAACATTTAGTTTTTGTAGAACACCATAGTGAACTGTGAAGAAAACCTGAGCTTTCTCACAACATGAATTCTGAAAGCTAGCCCAGATTCTCGGTTGAGGGGTGGGGGCAAGTACTGCCTGTGGCTTGTTATATTCCCTGAAACCCAATGACACAGTGTCTCCTCCAAGGAGCAGCAAACACAAAGCAGCCTAGGCCAAGTCCTAGACATTTTGCTGTATCCACTCCATTCTCACTCAGAAAGGTACTAAGTGCAGAAGCCTTCCCTTGCTTGTTTCCTTAGGCTACTCTGTACTGCAACCTGATGATGATGGTGTTGCCTCTGCTGCCACCTTGTGGAGTTTTTATTATCAAATCTTAACTACGTCAAACTGATTTGGCTGGTTTCAAGCAAGTAAAATTGTAATTATGTGCAATTATAGATTTTTTGACAAAAAAGGGAGGTAATCCATATATCTCAAAGGGAAGATAAAACCATGGCTATAATTTAGTATGAACTTAAAGTATTATTTTTTATAAAAGCAGAGAGCAACTTAAAGAGGAAATATCCCTATTTTGCAAAGGAAGAACCAAGATTCATAGACTTTGTATTACATTGCCCAACATCACACAGCCAACAGTTGAACTTAGAGTAAGTTATCCATCTCTAAATTATTTATTGCATAGTTCCTTTGAGTTTGCATAGATAATAATGACTAGAACCAATTGTTTTAAAATGTAGGTTTTATTATTATTCCAATATAAAGAGAACGATAGATCAGGATAATTGCCATTGAAAAAGTAGTTTGTTACAGTGTTCAAGATGAGGGAACATATCACACCATGCAGGGCCACACAAGGAGAAGCACCAGAGTCAGTCAGTAAGGAGAGGATAAAGGGAAAGTATGAGCAGGAGCTTTGATTTTAGTTTCCATGGGAAAGGTAAGGCAGAGTTAAGCAAGTTTAGAATTGGCTAGTTTGAATAATTCCAGCAGGCTCTGGGACATAGGAGCTGTCCATAGTTGCCTGGTATCTGGCCCTGGGAAGATTAGTGCAGAGGAATACTGTTCTAGGAGTGTAAGAGTCGGAGAGAGGAGGTAGTTCAGAATATGGGCTCCGGATA